TGATGGATCCTGTGTTTGGATGACTAGTTACTCACCAGCAGAGCTCCTTAGAGGAAAATGTGTCTGCCTGTTCTTTCTTTGCACAGGGCGGGTGCGTGCTCTTACTTGTTCTGCCCCATGTGCTTGTCAGATCTGTGCTATTAACAGCCCAACTAGTTCAGCAAACAATGTACCTCACAGCTTGCCAGGCAAGATTTTCATGATGCAGCAGGTACAGGCTGCTGGAGCAGCTTCAGAAGAAAATAATGGTGTAAGGGAGCAGTTGTGGAAAGGGCTGGGTTTTTGGTTTTTCCCTGAAGTACATAATGAGAAGTATGCTTAGCACACTTAGCATTTCACAAATGTAGTAGCCCCAGTGGCTCCCAAAAGATTACTGCATACAGTCCTTTGCGTAACAGCTGGAAAGGGAAGACAGTTTCAATATGCATTTCCAGGATCTTATGGTTTTACAAAAGCTGCTTTCCAATATTAATTTTCTAGGCTTGGGCTTAGCCTGATGTGACCTTTATTTTCCTGGAAAGTACAATCCTTTGCTCTTTAGTTCTTGTGTGGGAAGTTTTTGATTCCTTTAAGCCATAAGCTGTTATACCAAATTCCAGGATCACAAGTGCTACGTGTGCATGTACTCATCAACAGCAGATATAGTTGGTGGCTTTTGGTCAAAGTTGTTTTTAAAGACATTGAGCAGTCTAAAAAATAGTGTGTTTTCTACTAAGGACATGAGAAATGAAGTGGTTTTGTTTGCAAAACACTCGGTTTGTTTACAGTTGGTTTGACCCCAAATTGATATGTTTCTGCTTGGTAAAATGAAGTCTTCAGCTGTGGTAGTTTGACCTGAGTATGTCTGAAGTGCAGTTTAAGGCATCTCCTGCCTCACTCTCTCCCAAGTGGGTCTTTGTGGTTGAACTCTGTCTTAGTGGCTTGTGTCACATCAGCTAGTGCGTTCTGAGAGTCAAAGTGCTCTGTAGGACACAGTGTGCTGGTCCTGGTGGGGAATGGACTAGTGTCTGGCAGCTTGAGGTGACCAGGATGAAGACTGAGATGAACCAAAATATGAAACTGAAAGGTATGGAATCAAAATGCAGCTCTAAGTGTAGCAACTTGAAAAAACCCAGTATTTGTATTACCTCTGTAGTAGATAGTGCTCCTGTGGTGCTGTCTCTTTGAGAAGCTTCCAACTGGGACCACATGAGTTGCAAGATCTCTTGTCTTTCTGCCTTCCTGGTATAGGAACACCAGGAAGCTTTTGAGGGAATTGGATAGGGAGAAGGTGGGGCTTAGACTAATTTTGCCCTCTGGTTGGTTGGTTGGTTTGGTGCACGGAAGACCTTGGTTCCTCTGTTGGGATGAGTGGCCAGGCTGTTCTCCATCCTGTTTAATAGCTGAACAAAGTCAAGCAGCTCGTTGGAAACATGGAGGAAACTTTTACTGCTCTGTGAAACAAGCTGTTTCCTAGGGCCCAGGCCCTTAATTGAGAGGGAGATAATCCAAGTTCAAACTCCTTTACAACAGGAGCTTCTCATTTTGACCCTGACTATAGAGTACCCTTTGTTCAACAGCATATGTACCTTGTGAATGATGTAGGAAAGCCACAGACCCATCAGGACCTTCACTCTCCTCTGTTCTGGTCTTTGTCTCTGCAGTTTCTGATGTCAAAGTGCCCATGCTTCCCTCACACAAACGTACAGATATCACCATCTTCAAGCCCTTCATGGATCTAGACACTCAGCCTGTCCTTTTCATTCCTGATGTTCACTTTGCAAACCTTCAGCGTGGAGCTCATGTAAGTAAAGCTCATGGGTGTGGGGATGAGGAGACTCTGGGATATATTTGCAAAAGGCCTGGGATGCTATGTGTGCTTGTGTATGTATGAAATGTCACACTGTATGCATCAATGCTGCAATCAAATATAGGCTGAGTGTCATGTGAGCAAGAGATGTTGCTTTGAGATGCATTGGGTGGAGTTAACTGAGGATGCTTTATCAAGTTATGTTCCTATGAACCTAAATGGATTTTTCCATAGCATTTCCACTGAATGAACTGCAGACTGATTTTTCTCTTGCAATGTCCGTTGGGATTCCAGTGTGCTGCCATACAGTGCAGGCTCCTCCAGCTGCCTGCTGCAGGGTGAAAATCCATCCTGGGGACTGGCAAGTGTGTCAGCTCTGTGATCCTCTGCCAGAGCGCCCTGCCTCAGCATTCCTGGAAAATTCTAGCTTACAGGAAACTGGAAGGGAAAAATTAGCATGCAACCAAGTTTCAAAATCTTGAACTTTCCTGAGCTGGGAGTTCTGGCATGCTCTAACACAATCTACACCTTACTTTGTGAGAGCATTGCCTGAACTCCTAGCAGGGATTCAGAATAAACATATGCGTAAGGCTGACAGTCCTGCATGTTTTCCTACAAAGGCCCTAGTGCTGAGGTCTGTCAGAAGACTCCATACGAGTCCAGGTGGAAAGCTGGTTAGCTCCTGTTTGTTTCTTTAATCCTTTTTATGAAGAAAACGTAAAGGTGATGCTTACTGGCTTTGGGAAATTGAGCCAAAGTGTCATTTGACACAGGGTTGAAAGATGGTAAGAGGAAATGAATTCTAGTTCTGGATAAAATTTTCACAGCCCTGGGTTCATATATTGTTTGTGTATTAAAGTGAAGGCCAGTGTTTATTTCTTGGACCAAAGCTTCTTACTTGTAGTAGTGCAGTTGTGACTGACAGCCTTGTTTTCCCATGTCCTAAACTAATATGTTTGCCAGCAACTTAGGTGGATGAGCTAATCTGCCTATCCTGCAGCTCCTGCCATGGGCTCAGGATGGGTTCTCTCTCCTTTAACTTGATGCTGTCAGACCTCTGCTCATGCCAGATGCAACAGGATTGTTGTTCTGTGCCAGTGACTCTTTAACTCAGCTATTGCTAAAGCACTATTGACAGATAGCACTGAAAGGGTTGAGGAGAGCATTGCTGGTGCAGGCATGTTACACCAGCCAGCGGGCTGTCCTTGCACAGCTCTGTTTTGTGGTGTTCAGAGCCCTCGGTAGCATTTTCTGAAGACTAAGTGCCACCTAAGGGTTTTGCTAGCTACTAATTCAGTGTGTTTTTCTGTGTATGTCAAGAAAATCTCCCCTTTGTTTTAAAAGGTCCTTCCTGTTGCTTCAGAAGAACTGGAGGGTGAAAGGTAAGAGCTGCCCTTCTTCAATGTACTGACGTCTTGCCCTCAGACAGAGGGGTAAGTCCCTCTAATTGTGCCACTGCTAACTTTTTGTCCTGTCAATGACAGCTCCAACCTGAAGAGAGGTGCTTATATGGGTGAAGAGGACTTTATTACTAGTCCGAATAAGATGGCCAGAATAGAAGAGCCAAAACGAGGTATTTTCTTATTTTAGAGGCTGAATGGTTCAAGTATTTGTCCATCATGATAAGAGAGATGCATCTGAGGTTAAAGAGTTTTTTAATTCATTTTGGTGTGTACTTCAGCCTGATTTTTCTGGCTTCGAGTAGTAATAAGGTTGCTGTATTGGGATGTAGTTCAGTTGTGCAAATCTTTTACAATGTCAGAATTTCTGGGGTTTTCTGCCAACTCGGACACTAACTAGCTCTGAACCTGTAAGGAAAGGGAGTCAGGAGGAGGTAAGCACTTTACCAGCCTCCCTAGTGGATTGGGGGAGAGAATTTATCATGTACTCTACTACAAAATGCTTTGGAAATCTACTCCAGGACTTGAAGCAACAAATGCCAAGAACTGGTTCTGACTATAAAACCATCTTTCATGGTGCCAGAAAATGGGCTGTTGACCACTGAGAGAATATTCTGCTTATTTTTAACCCATTTTCAAACTTTGCAATTCCATATGGGATTAGATGTTGCTGTGGTGTTGTGGAAAGAGATAAGTGGTCCCTTTGGGGTGGTGAGGATGGTGTACCTGCTTGATGACAATTGTGTGTGTAAGGACCCTGACAAAGCTTGAAAACTTGTGAAGCAGCAAGTGCAATGAGGCTGCACTTCTGTAGTCTGGATACGTGCTAAGGAAGGATGGATTTTATAATGGGAAATTGGACTCCTTGTTTTTTTGTGTTGCTCTATGCCACAAAACAAGACCCATGGGATTCTCTCTTCTTTGGCTGGGTATGATCTGACCTGCACTGTAACTAAGAGTGTGTGTGCTGTCTTCCTTTTTTAATCTACAGTCCTCCTGTTTTAAACCTGCCTTTAGCAGAGGAAATGCATCAAGGTGCTGTGCTGTCCTGACTTCACCTCATTCAATTAGAAATGCTAGTAATTGTTCCATGTTGCAGGTGTGTCAAAACAGTGGCTGATGAACCCTTGTAAACAATCCAGGCTGCAATACCTAGTCATTAAAAGATGGATTAAAGACAGCAAAGCCGTTAACGTCCAAGCTTTCTTGCTCTCCTGGCTTATTCCTCAGCCTTAATGCAGTTTTTAATGAGGCTGCAATGACTCTGTGTAGCTTGAGAACGCTGGGGACGTTTACCTAATTGGGCTTCTTACTCTTTCGTTCTCCTCCTAGCAGGAGACCAAGCCTGCATTGTATATGAGCTGTGCTGGTATGAGGGTTCCTGAAACACAGCAAAGGGTAGGAAGAGAGATGAGGCAGCGTAGGAGGAGCAGAGGAATGCACAAATAAAATACTTGAAAATTAGGAGGTGGCCAGGATGGCTTTACCTGCTGTGGTAGCATCTGTCAAATCTGCGTCAATCTGTGCAAAGTCTTATGGCAAATGACCTGTGAGACGTGGAGGAATCCAAGAGTCTGAGAGGTTCATGTTTTGTGTTCCTCATTTCTGTGTTTCAAATATCACTTTTTTTTTCAAATAATAGAGAAAATACCAAATTGAGAAAATATAAAAGCATTTTGGCAATCAAGATGCTTGAGCATGTAGGAGCTTTATGTGCAAAAGTTGTGTTTGGAGCTAGCCCAGCTGTGCATGTTTCTGATGCAGTCTTCAATGTATATTGAACATATGTATGTATATCTCTTCATAAGATCCTCACTGTGTGTCACTGTGTGCTTAGCCACTGTGGGATACAGATCTTTCCTGAGGAGCAAATATGCAGTTAATTCCTGTCTCCAAACTGCTTTTCAGTGTTGCTGTATGTCCGAAAAGAGTCAGAGGAAGTCTTTGATGCACTAATGTTAAAGACACCATCTTTGAAAGGTCTGATGGAAGCGGTAAGTAACGAGACTGTTTCATGGTCCTTCCTTCCCATTTGAGGAGAAGAGAGTGTTAGCCCTGGCTGCCCAGTCCTTACACACTGGACAGCCACAGGAGTCAGGCTCTCAATCACAGCTTGATTCTGCATATTTCTCTTCTGGATGAGGAGCATAAGGCTTATTTCCTTTCAATAACATGGGAATTAATGTAAATAATGCTTTAATTCATTATTAAGGGACTTCAGGAAGCTTTTATTTTAAGCACTCTACCCTGTATCTCTGGGGTCTGGGTGTAAGAAGACTTCCTGAAAATCCAGGTGTGTCAGACTTTGATTACTGAATGTCCCTGTTGTGAGAGAGGATATTTCAGTTAGAACATAGAGTGATTTCCAGAATGTGTTCTGTGCCTTGGCTTTATTTCAGTCTTTTGAAGCCTTGTTTGGGGGCCTCCCCTTCCCTTTCATAAGCTGGTATTACAGAGCTCCAAGTCTCAGATTCTGTGTATGCTTGAAGACTGTTGTATATCTGTGCACATGTGGGTGAAATTTCTCCCTGGTACTTGAGTTCCAAAATAGCCTTCCACTATCCCTGCTGCTGCAGTGCAAGGGAAGCACAGAGCTTAAGTCCAAGGAATGGTGTAATGTTTGGCATGAGCTCAAAACTGACGTCTCTGTCTGCTTCTTTCTGTGACTAATGCCTTGTTGATGCTCAGAGGACAGGGGCTTTGTGGCTGTGCACGCAGGTCTTGCCATGACTTTCGGGGTGCAGAGATGGTTCTGTAAACAGAATCTTCATCTCTTCCTGGCTGTGGGGCTTTGCCAGCACAGGCAGGTAGAGGTGGAGGACTAATGCAGAGAGGGATTGAAGGCTGTGTAGTCCTCCCTTACCCCATGGTCCTGAAGTGAGGCTGCACCTTCTTTGTTTCACCTGGATTTCTTAAAGCAAAGAACCAAGAGCTCACAGCTGTAGCTTGGGAGAAAACTCCCTGTGCTTTTGCATGCCAGAACTGCTTATTGCTTTGGTACTTGCTGTTGGTGTGATAGAGTAATTTGCCAAAGTGAACCAGGCTTAGGTTACTGACCTCCTGACTTTCTGGAGATTGTGCAGTAAAGTGCCACAGTGGGTGCCTGTGGTTTCATATTGACGTCATCCTGCTGGGTAAGGGGAATGTTTCTGATCACCTTGTGCCCTTAGTAGCAGAGGTCTTCACTCTGTTGCTATTTTCTTCCTGCACCAGCCGCTGTCATGACTAGTTTTCACTTGATCCCTCTGACACTAAATTTAAAAATGGTTTTTGGTATGCTAAGAGAACAGGGCACCAAGGGAGAATGAGAGTTGGGGTGTGGAGTGTTTTTTGAATGCGTGGGCTTTTGGGTGTAGGGGCAGGAGGTTGCTGTATAAGAAGTCAGTGGCCAGGTTTAGAACAGGGTTAAAATTTTTGCATAGAAGTTGGCAAACTGCAGAGGGAGATGTTCTCATCTGTAGGCTTATGCTATAGTTCAGGATTTAGTGTTGCCTTTATAGGGCAGAGCAGTTGTTTTCATTTGTAGGCTTTTTTTGTTCCTTTCTGTAAAATAGGAAGTGGATGACAATACCAGCAGTCTCCTTGCTTCACCAGTGCTTGCTTTCTTTTGTTCTAGATATCTGACAAGTATGATGTGCCTTTTGATAAAATAGGAAAAATCTTCAAAAAATGTAAAAAAGGGTGAGTATGTACCTGTGCAACAACTGCCTGAGAAATATGAACACCTTTTTTCAGACCTGTTGGCACATGTGCTTTATCATTCCTCCATGCACTGCACGTACACGAATGCCATTTGCAGATGTGTGTGTGCACACAACACACACACATTCCAACATCATTCATAGAGCTGGAGGCCGGAAGACTGTAGGAAGGGTTCTACAGAAATATGTGGTCTGACTTCCTGGGTAAATATAAGTAATGGAACCTCTCTGAGCTAATTGTTACTTGAACCGGAGTTGATCATGTCAGAGGAAGAATAGTTCAGTTTGTTTAAAGACTCCCAGTGATGAAGAGCCTCCTTCAGCGCATGTTAAATTGTTCCTCACTATATTGTGCTCACTATATCTGCATTTGGCTACAGTTACTCAACCCTGGTTGTCTTTTTGTGGGCTACATTGAAGAGAACTTTATTGTGAAGCGTCTATTTCTCACAGAGGGCACATTCCATTATATTTTTATTTTGTTGCATAAATAATTGAGTTTCTGAACACTGTCTGCTTTTGGTTTTCCTTTTAATTTCTCAGTAGTTTTCTTGACTTCTCTTTAAAGTCACTTTGGCATCTCAGCCCCTTCTCCAAAGCCACTCTGGCCAGAAAATTATACCACTGAGCCACCTTTGGAATGTAGTTTCAAGGGCTGTGCTTTCATAGCAGAATTACCCCACCAGAATAGATGCAAAAGTTTTGAATCTGTAGTACCTAAACCACTGCTAAGCACAGCTTTGTGTGCACACAAACACACAGGTATTGACCTTTCTGGCAAATGGAAGAAGTGGCCAAGTATCAGTAGTTTCTTGCCTGCAAGTTCTGTATGGTTTTGTGCTGATAGTTTATGACTGTCAAACAAACCTCTTCAGAGCCCCAAGTGTTTGCAGCTTCAGAAGGATTTCTGCCAGTTTCAAGATCTCTCTTCCTCTCTGGTCCCAGAGCCAGATTTAACCCTTCCATTTAGACCCTAAGACATGTGGCTGCAAGCCTTGTTGGCAGGTTTGGGTGAGGACAGCCAGAATCTGCCCTAGGAAGCAGTGAGTCAGAAAGGTGAGCAAGGATCTAGTGTTACCCCTGGACAGTCCAGGCTCTCTGAGGTCTGAGGGTGCCTTTGCTGTCTTTAACATATAGAACTGTAATATATCTGATCTGTTTTATTTTTCCAGAATTCTGGTCAATATGGATGATAACATTGTGAAACACTATTCTAATGAAGATACCTTCCAGCTGCAGATTGAGGAAGTTGGAGGATCTTACAAGCTCACTCTGACAGAGATCTAAGATCACAGATCCTCTGTGTATTTTAAACAAAGGTCTCAAATGAACATTTTCCCATAATTCAGTATGTTGGGTAAAACACTAATCGCCTTCTCCAGAAGAAATCCAGGTGTTGACTTGTTCTGGGGAGCAGAGCAGTGGTTTTGCTTAATACATTTGTGTTTCTGTTCTTGCTCATGACCTTATTTGCACTTGAAATGAGCGAACAAAGATCAGTGATTAAATAGAGTGTGTATATATTTATACTAGTGTATAAAGCACTAGTAAACACAGGAGGGGAAAACTCCTGGAAGGTGGCCTTTTAGACTGGTGGTATCTTATTTATCTATTCAGTAACCATGTTTGAGCCCATTATCAGCTAATACCATTTTACTGGACTGTGTTCTGCTAGGTAGAGCTGCAAAACTACTAATTGATATTAGTAGGAGTTGCATGCAGGTTGGAGAAAAGTCTTTATAATGTTTACTCGTGACCAGGGCAGACTGTTGAAATCATGTGTGTCATTTGGGGGGAATGTAAAACTGCCTTGCTTATGAAGAACTCGCCTTAGTAACTGTGTGAACTCTCATCAAATGAAGCTATATTGTATATAAGTGCAATATATTTTTGAAGGTTTGTAAATGTGTACATACAAGTGATATATAATATATACAAAATATGGTGTTCTGTATATACCGTGAATATATGCAATGAAGCCCATCTAAACGGATGCCATATACAGAGAAAACATATTTAACATTGATATTTAAAAATGGACAAACCCTTAACACGCACCAAAGGTGAGCACACGTTTGTATGTTCATAGAAGGCACAAGAGACCTGCTTGTCCAACATGGATCTTCCTGTGTGGTAGGAAAAAGGTACGGACTCTCTCCTAAACCCTCCTGCACAGCCAGGCGATGGCAGTCCTGGCTTCTCTTATGAACTGCCACTTTGACTCCTCGAACAGCTCTCTACTGCTGCCCTGGGAGGGAATTCAGGCCAAGTCTCAGAGTTGGGTCCCAAGAGGAGATGAGGAAATCTCACTTCTTGGGGTCAGGAAGGTGGTCTCCTGGAGGGTGGATTTTTTTCTGTAGCAGTGTACTTAAGGCTCACCACCAGCAGCTCAGGCTGGATGAACCCAAGGGCTGCCAGCTTGCAAGGTCCCAGGATGTCAACAACTGGAAATGCAGAGGCAAGGCGTTTGACAGAGAAAGGGGCATCATGGCTCTGCAGGCCAAGTGTTAGCAGGGACTGAGACATGCAAGCACGTTACATGTTCTTGGCGTATGTACATGGCATGGACCCACTGCTGAGCTGGAGAGACCAAACAGGCAGCTGGTAGCAGGCATCCTGAGCCTAGCCCCGGCTGGGAGTGCCAAACACCTCCAAAAAATACTGATCTATGCTGTTTCATCATGGTGTGCATGTGCTTATGAAGGAAAGGCACCCTCTAGTTAGCAGCAAGTGAGAGAGGAGCATTTACACAGCGGCACTTGGCTCTAAGGCAGAAACCTGCATTACATGATGAGCAGAAGAACATGAGTGCCAGGTCCAGAGTTAGAACTTCTGTTAGGGATCTGGATAATGAAAGAGGTTTGTTTTCAGACAGCACTAAGCTGCACTTGCGTTACCTAGAACGTGAAGGCCAACTGGAAAGACTGGAAAAATACTCCGGCAAAGTAGGATATGATTTTACTTAAAAGTTCTACTAAATGGTTAACAGATAGTAGCCTAATATTGTTCAGCTCTGTCATGGTGCTGGTTGGAAGAGGGAGGCAAATGCCACATTGAGTTGATCAAGAGGAGCATGGTCTGCAAAAGACAGAGGGCCCACCTTTTTCTCTACTGGCATTGCTGAAGCCTGTGCTGGAGCACGGTGCCCTGCCAGCAGAGATTAGTCCTAGCAGATGTTTCAGTGTGGTGGGACCATACTGGACCTTCAGCCAGAGCTCGTGGCTTCCGAGGAGGAAGGGCTGGATGATTTGGCTGGTGAGGGGTCATCTTCAGAAGGGAAGGTTGAAGGGAACAGCCTCCCAGCCCATGGAAATGTTCTCCTCATCCATTGCAAGCAGCAGGAGTAATGGACATATATTGCAGAAATACAGGTTAGGTATTGTGGTTTTCTCTAGTGAGAAGAGCAGGTTGCTCAGGGAGGTGGTGGTTTGGCATCAGAGGTCTTCAGAGCCAGGCTGGACAAAGGTATCTCTGGGCTGTCATAAATGTAATTGATTGTCCTTTGGTGCTGAGACTAGGTGACCACTTGAAGTCCTTCCCCACCTTATTTTTTAATGATTCATATGAAATACAGTATTTTTGGATTTGTATTTAGATCAATCCCGAGCTGGTTCATAAACCACTCCATTCCCCCCCTGCCTTCTTCTCTGTTGATGGGCCCCAACAGAGGGTTGATGATGCTCTGGGCACCACATGCTCCTTTCTTTGCTCTGTGGCTGGAGTCGAGCAAACTCCACATGGATGCAGCTATGACTAGGCATGTGGACAGAACCCGTGGGCTCAAAGCCAAAGGAGAGAAGCTGATGTGCATTACAATGTGGAAGAGACTTGGCCAAGGCATGCCACCCCGTACAGCAACCCACCTCCTGCAGAGCAGCCACGGCACTCGTACCCTACCAACACCAACTCCTCCCTGCTTGGGCTTCCCTTCATCAGTCATGGGAATAATGTTACTATGGCAAGGGAATTTATTGTGAAACCTGATATATAGAATACATATATTTACACATTTTTATTGAAAATGGAAGTTTTATTACAGAAGCTCGGTCTAGGGTCAGGGAAGTAGATTTAGAGTCTCCATAGAGGTAAGACTGACATGAATGTTATTTCTTTTTACTGCTTAATGAAGTATGTGAACTAAATCTGACGATTGTTTTCCACTAAGATATTCTGGGACACGGGTCTTATAACAGTAGCAGCAATGTCATGTATGTTTTATGAAACTGATTTTTTTGTTTTGCCTGCTGTTTTTTAATTGAAAATGTATTTTAAACCAGCTATTAAATTTTATATGTTCATTTCTAATGATGAGTCTTTTATATAGCAAATGCATCTGCTCTTGTGCCTTTATTTTTCCTTTGACAGGGAATCCATAAAACCCCAGTGATCACTTCCTAGTATCTCTTTGCAAAAGAAAATAATCCGAGTGCCAGCCCTGCTGTTATTCCCACATAAGAAATTATCAGTTCCATTGTTATTCCCTGCTTTGTTTCAGCTGACCTCATTCAGTTTCACACGTGGGGAAACTGCAGCAATTTTTCTCATTTTTTTTCTCATTTTTTTTCTCAAATTTTTCTCAATATTTTTCCTTTGGCAGGAAAGCAAAATACACATCGGTAAGCTCGAGTGTGTAGCAGGTTGGTGGCACCTGATGGCACCTGCTTGGAGGGGCAGTGCTGCCTTCTGGGAGTCTGCCGTCTCTGCAGCTGTGGAGGAGGAGCTGTGGGCTCACAGCAGTGCCCGTGGCTGTCCCTGGCTGCCATTCCATGGTGCTTTACGTAATTTCCAGCTCACTGTCGCTACAGGGTGGTGGGTGTCCTTCCAGGAGGAGCTGGTCATAATGGGTCATAACAGGTGGCACAGGGACCACTGGTGAAGCTGCAGGCACTGACTTCTCCAAGCTGAAAACAAAGTTCATGCTAGTATCTCCAGGATAATCCTAATGCCATAGTGTCTGGAGAGATGTTCCCCTCTTTTTTCACTGTCAGAAAATGTCTCGACAAGCCGTCGCTGTAGCTACCTCTACAGCCCCTGCAGCAGTTCCAAGGTGCTGCCCTGGGGCAGCTCGTGTGCTGGCACCTTCCCAGTCACTGGGCTTGTGTTGACGTGCCTGGGGCTGGGTGGGGAGCAGCGTGGGTGGCAGATTTCTGGGCTAGGAAAAGGATGGTAACGCTTAATTTAATTACTTCGTGGCTCTTGCGCAGGTTGGGCTTGCAGTTTGTGTCCCAGATGTAGGAAGATGCTGCAGGGTGTCACCTGGCGAGTCTTGGGGTGCCTGGGGTGATGCACAAGTGCTGGGAGATGCCAAGTGTCATCTCCACCTGAGTTGGTGCTGACTGAAAGGCTGAGTGGGGCTTCACCCCCATACAGTGGCTGTGTAGCATGGTGCCCATCTCACAGCAAACTTCAGTGTGAGGCAGGATCTGCTGCAGGACCAGCTGTGAGACAGCTGCTACCCCTTTTCCCCTGGGCATGTGATGCCATTGTTTTCCTCAGCCTTTATATGTTCGTCCCTGTGCCAGCCCTCCCTCCTTCTCCTGGCAGCCTACTGTCCCTTTTCTATTCAAATGAGTTTAAAGGAAGTGAAGGTGAAGCCCCAAAGATGCAGCTTTGAACTCCCGAGGCTGGGAGTCTTACAGGGAGATCTGTGCTTCTTCCCTGGGGTGCAGCTTGGGGCTTCTAATATTGCAAACATTTAGTTAAGCTTTTAACACCTGACCTCCGTTGTATGGGATTCTGAATTCTGCACCAGTCTCCAGCTTCTTGATGGAACTTTTGCCTTTTAATTGCAAAGGCTTTTTCCTCAAGGGTTTGCAAGAGCACAGAGCTTACATGCTCCTCTATTTAGTGTGTGTGTGGTTTAGATCACTTGATTTATTATTATGATTAAGTTATTAAATATTAGACAATATTTAGATGATACCTTAGCTATATTAATTTGTCTAATATATGAGTTATTATAACTTGATTTGCTGTTGGTCCTTGGACTAACCTACCATACCACCATGCTCTTCACTGGGTACCTTTGGATGGTTCACAATACTGTAGGAAGGGGTTTTTGGGGTTTTTTTCTTTGCTGGTTTCAGTAGCTGCTGTGGCTGGGGTGGTTGTGGGGTTTTTGGTGCATCTCACAGTTTCTTGTTTGCACAGGGCAATGCTCCCCAGTCCCATTGATCTGTTTGCCTGTGCACACAGTTTGTGGATGGCTGGTGTGCTTGCTGGCTTGAGTGTTATTTATTTTGTCATCTCTCCAGCATGGCCATCCTGCAGGCTGCAGATGCATGTGC